ATATAATTAATCATAACGGCTACTTTGATCTCTTGATTTCTCTCATTATGATTTTTGGTTTTGCTGAAGACTATCGTACAATAGTTATTAATGTAAAGCATGAACTTGGCAACTTAGGAAGACTTCAAGATATTAACATTAGAAGTAGAATATTTCATGCCCAATGTTGTAAAGTCATGTGCGCATAAAATTCGTCTACTTAATTATTTATAGAAAGATGAATTTGTATCTATGAGCTTTCGAACTTGAAAACTTTCTGAATATCTACTTTTACCTACTACATGAAAACATATTTGGACGGTCAAAACGCCCAATTAGTTAAATAAGCCGTGCTGTATTATATTAGCCTTCCAGACGTATCATAAAAGTCAGAGAGGTGTAAATTCTGGCCAATTTAATTATTGCAATATAAGAAATGCAAGACTGTGTTTAACTTCAAAATGTTTTTCTTATAGGGATCTTAATATTAATACTACAAAAAATCATTTTTCATTGTTATATGACATGTATGCAAGCTTTCAGATTTCATGTTGTGATGAATATCGTGCATCCTTTTTAAGCAAATATTAATTTTAACATGCTATACCTTTGATTGTCCTTGGATGCTCTAAATAAAACGAGTCATTAAAAAATTCTCCTGTAAATGTACAATTAGAAATTGGAATCTCACGACAATTTTCCTGATAGTACTTTAGCTTACTGCTTAATTTTACACGATCGCATCGTACAGTACAGTTCAACGAGTGGGGATGTAAAAAACTTGTGTGAGGCTATAAAACCCGATGCATAATACTTAAAACATCATTTATCTGTTAACCACCATGGAGAAAGGTCAGAGAAGTTTGACGAAAAAAAAAGAAGAGAATAAGCAAAGACTAGCAGAGTGGAAAAAGTTTGAGAAAAAACACGCTGAGAAATGAAAAGAAGAAGAATCCAGGTAAAAATCAAAAGATCATAAATATTGCAATATTTCCTACAGTAAAAAAAATCATCTTGATGAAAAAGATACTAATTGATCAACATGTCTCACAAGCCTAACATTAGCAAATTCACTACTGATATTAAATATCAAAAACTCTCAACCACGGATAATGATGACAGAAATAAAAAATCTTAGTTGAAAAAACTAACAAAGAAGTTCTTAACTATAAATCAACATTTCCTAAACGTGGAAGTTATGAAAGATTCAAACAATAATTCAAGATTTTCACATGAAAAAAGGATAAAATGGAATATGTGGTAGACATGCAAGGCTTTTTTATTCGCCATACCTCACAGATATGAGCGTATGGCTAGCACTCTCATCCATACACATAAAACAACACTTTCTTCTACAAGCTAACCGGATAGAAGGAAGCTGTGCACAACTCCTAGTGCTTCATGTCGAGTAGTGGCTGTCCGCGAACGGTCACCCACGTAAGCAGAAAGGGGAGCGTTTGCTGAATTTGGCTTGTGCTGGTATCGGCCTAGTTTATCTACTGCAGTAAAATTTTTAAAACCATTATTGTCATAGAGTGTTCATGTTGCTACTCGAAGTTATATTTCTTGGTGGTAGGGTACCTGTGACTCCTTTGTCCATATTTTGCTTGTCATCCGCCATTCTTTAATGTTGTCTTTCTGTTGCAATTTTTTTCGTAGGAGATTAGCTTCAACCATGACTTGATATATACCTAAGCTTTGTTGTATTTACTCCATCGTTGATAAACATTACACTGAAATACCTATTACATAAAATGTATTGTTTTCAAAAAGTAATGCATTGAATGACCTGGAATTTCAACAGAACTTTTAAATTAGTCTAATGCACGTCTCCTTGTGATTTCTGTTAATATTTAATTTGAAAAACGAATTTACTTGACGTTTATAGATTTGTAGGTAACGTATTATAGGTAAATATAAGACTTCAGTTTCAAACTATACATGTTAACAAAAACGATAAGAAGATTCTTATTCATCTTATTATTTTTAAAGTTTTGTTTGAATTCTAGGTTATATAGTGCATTACTTTTTGAGGATATTTACATTTTCTACGATAGGTACCTTAGTACTCTCAAATGATTGCAAGATTTTACTTATCTCTATTCGTTTGCCATGGATTGCAACAAATTTGTACTCAATGATTCCTTAAAGTAACAGTTTGACAATTCTTTCTCTTATTTAATACTAAATGCGATATAAAATGATTTATTACGAATCATTAAACTGGAGTAGTCAGTAAGGCTAAAGTAAAGCTAAAACTCTCGAGTATATACTGCATGCCCTGAAGTAGCCACAAAAAAAATTTTTTGACTGTTTTGTGTCGACTGATCGGTACAATCCGTATTACAACGTATTTTTATTTGAATTATAATGTTAGAGAACTTAAAGGTTAACTGTAACAAGTTTCGCACAAAATGACAAGCATTTTATAAGAACAATAATTGAAAACTTTCGTTTTAAAGTGAAAAATAAATAATAAAAAACGATAAAATAATACAAGAAGACTAAAATAAAATCAAATCAAATTAATATTCAAAGTTTGAATGCAGATGGAAATCAATTCAAAGCGTTTAAAACTTTTTTTGAAGGAAATAAATTATAATTATTATGCCAAAAAATTATACGTTATAAGTTACAAGTTTTAATTACCGTATCTAATATTTAATTGAGAATCCTAATGTTGCTAGAGTAAAAAATTAAGTCCTATAAGTTACCGTACTCTTGGCGTTAATTGTAACTATTGTTTGTGATCTACATGCAAACAACATATTATTTTTTGCTTGAAAAACATACTTATCAATGTTTTATGACTAGAAAGCTTATATAAAATAGTTCATGATAGTGACATCCCAACTTATTAATTGTTAAAAATTCATCTTGAGTAAATTAAAGAAAGTAGATATGAGGCTTATTTTATTAATTAATACGAGCCTAAATTACTACATATTATACATTGATTTAATTTCAGTGTGTTTTTTGACATTCTACGTAAATGACGGAACGTTTCCAACTTTCGACTATATAAGTAGTATAGATAACTACAAAAAAAAATCATTATCCAGCGTATGTTTTAAATACGATGACTCCTAACCTAACTTAGTATGGATACTTTAAAGCATGCTGTCATCTTTGACAGTGTCAATCATTATAATCTTTCTTATAGATCTGATCAAGAAAATTTTGAGATATTCTGTAACGGCTACTATACAAGTATATAAAATACTTTTGAGATTCTATTAATTTAAAAGTTCTAGAAAATTGTTAAAATCTTCAAAAAGCCGAAGTCTAAAGTGTCTACGTTTGCAATCGTAAGTCTACAAGTTGTTTTAAAAAACTAATCTTTTTCTATGAAGAATACTACTCATTTTAAGTAGGTAATCAATCTAATGTTTCAAAGTTTTCGAATTTGAATGAAATATACAATAAAGTCACAAGTTTTTATGTGCTTGGCGCTTAATTTTCTTAGTTATTTTAATTTTTGGGTAGTGAATTTTGTTTTTATTACTGAAAAGACCGTTCTGGAAAATCCAGAGTTAATTCAAGTTTTCTAATTCATCGATAACGTCGATTTGGTTTATATCCTTATACAATTACTTGTTAAATATTTACGAATTTGCGACAGCTCTTTATTTTTAAAATACTCCATTGAAAAAACTTTCTGCTAAAAATAACATCGATTAATGGCACAAAATTATTGTCTAATTAAATTAGTTTTACACCCTGCCAATCAACAAATTGAAACGAAATTAAAGAAAAATCAGATGTTAGACTTGCGAGGCGAGATACAATTTTTTCGTACGATTCTTCATGTTACGAAATATCTCGCCAAAACAAAGCTCTATTCATTCCGTGAAAAGAAAAAATTTAAGCCAGTTATGTTTTTTTTGTCCAAATGTACTAAATTAATTAATAACTGTTAATTTGATAAACTATCTATTAATCCACATGGTGGACAACTGATTTAATTAGAAAGTAATATTATACTGTGTCCTTTTTAGAAAATACTATTTATATAACAGAAAGTTTTTTCAGTATAATATTCTATAGAAAAAAAAAGATTTTTTACCAATTTTTGAATCTGTAATAGATAAGTAGACTCTGTTTGGGTGAGATTGATTGCAAATTGTGAAAGAAAAACGGAATATCAGATTGCACCTTATAAGTCATATAATACGTTTTATACATTTTGCATCGAATAATAGGTTAGTCTGTCGAGTTTGGCCTTGATTTATTTTTTGGAGTGTCAAAAATGAGTACTAGCTCTTCTTTTTTTAACGAAATAGTTTAATTACTAAAACAATTAAAAAGCTATATGTGGAGTGTGTATGTATTTCAATATAAATTATCAACGTTTCGCTTGTGTGCTTTAGGCACCTGCTCTAACGGGGCTGTTAATACATCTTGTAAAGGCCTCCGTGAGGAGCGAAACGTCGACAATTTTCATTAAAATTAAGACACACACTCAACATATGGCTTCTTAATTATTTTATTTATTGGATATGTACATGGAGAAGAAAGGAAGAAGTATCGTGAAGAGTGAGAGAAGGAAGGAAGAAGTACTATGAAAATAGTTAATTATTCTATAAATAATGTTGCAATGCTATAAATTTAAATGAATCTTATTCACAAGCCTTCCAATTTTCAAATACATCCTGACGATCCTTAAAGGATCTCGATCTTTGCATTTTTAGATGTTTATCTTATTGATTAAATTTAAAAAAAAAAGTAAATTAGCCATCGTTTACTTATTATTGAATAGTAGTTAACCATCAGTTTACATCCAAACTAACTTTTTGTTATACTTGAGAGAATGCCAATTGTGAAAGTCCATGCTATTTAAGAATGAAAGTTAAATTATGGCTTTGGTTATGTCTGCTTTACATGTATCTCAAAAAATTTTCTCGTTAATAAACATATTTTTGTTTTTACCTTTTGTGTAAGTTTATTTAGGAATTTTTTTTGTATAATATGTATTAATAGAAAAAAAATATGTGACAGTTATTATTTATAATATTTTTCAGTAAAAAATTGGATAAATCTTTATTCTGACTATAAAGAAGTAGTAGTTGAAGTTATAGAAAATTGCAGAATTTATCCTATGAGAACCACAGCTCATGTTTCTGGTACGTATTGAAAAAAAAATCTGTTAAAATGTCTTGTTTTTGCTAAGTAAACTTAAAACTTCAAGTCTGAAGCTAGCCGCTTATTCAGAGTCACTGATTCGCAAATTACAGAGGTTCTCAACCTGAACACCAAATATGAAGACTTGCCCTCATTAATCAATGCACAGTGTACAAGTCCATACAGCGTATAGAGCTTGTATATATACAATATAATCACATAAACGTAATATAATACATAGTTATTTAACAAAAAGAATTGCTTCTCCACTTAACGGTAAGTATTGCAGACTGGAACAGTTATTTTAACAAAATTAAATGTTTCCAAAACTTTTTTGTTGCCTCTAGAACTATACAAATACGCTAAATTAACATGTATGTAGTACGTAGAATAGGCAGAACATGTTCAAAATTAGTATAACTTAAAAAGAAAAAGTGTTATTTTTATGAAAATCATTCTTATAGTTCGTATAGGCATCATAAATGCACAAGCAAAGTTTCAGCAAAAGAACGCTGTCCAGAAAAAAGTTATAAAAAAATTAGGCAGCCTTTCCACACAGCCAAATCGGCTGATGACTGACAAAAATTACTGTAGCTTTGCAACCAACATTGTTCTTTTCATAAACTTTGATTTTGTAGTTATTATGAGTGTCCTGAATGCATAGGCAAAGTTTCAACAAAAGAACATTATGAAAAAAAAACTCATAAACAAATTAAGTAGCATTTCTACGTTGCCGAATCAGCTGATGACTGACAAAATTTTTGTAGCTTAAATACTATTATATTTGTATATAGCTACCGTAACATTTGTCAGTCTGTAGCCAATCATCGACGTGAACAGGCTACGTAAATTGTGAAGAACTTTTTTTTTAAAGTGCTTTTTTGCTAAAACTCTGTCTATACATTCAAGACACTTAGATTAACTATAAAACAAATTTTATAAAAAAAACACTCTTAGTTTTAAATCTTCTAAGATTTTTGTCAGCGAATAGCCTAATTAGTGAATTAGAGAGGCTGCTTAGTTTGTTTATTTTATTTTTTTTTTTAAGTGTTCTTTTGCTAAAACTTTCCCCATATATTTAAGAACTTTAATAAACTATGAAAACTTTTTCCATAAAAACAACACTCTTAGTTTTAAAACTTCTGTGATTTTTGTCAGTCTTTACCCTATTCAGTGACGTGGAAAGGCTGCTTAATTGGTAATAACTTTTTTTGGGAAGTGCTCTTTTGCTTAAACTCTGTCTATACATTCAAGAAACTCAGTATAACTATAAAAACAATTTATATAAAAAGAACAGTCTCAGTTTTAAAGCTTCTGTATTTTTCTCAGTCTATAGCCGATTCAGTGACACGGAAAGGCTGCTTAAGTTGTAAATAACTTTTTTTTGGAAAGTGCTTTTCTGCTAAAACTCTGTCCATACATTCAAGACACTCAGATTAACTGTAAAAACAAATTTTATAAAAACAACATTCTTACTTTTAAAGCTACTGTGATTTTTGTCAGTCAATTACCGATTAGGTGACTGGGAAAAGTTGCCTACTTCGTTTATAACTTTTTTTTGAAAAGTGTTCTTTCGCTCAAACTTTGCTTATACATTTAAAACACTCAGATAAATTATGAAAAAACGGTTTTTATAAAAAGAATACTTTTTCTTTTTTAATTTTAATTTTTATATGTACTGCCTATTCTACGTATTACGTACAGTTTTTTATTTATTCATAATTTTTTTAGGAAGATTGTTTTTGTTTTTATTTACCGTATTTATAGAGTATTAGAGGCATCAAAGAACCTTAGAAAATATTTTTTTTTTAACACTGTTCCAGTCTGCAATATTTACTGTTAACGTCACACTATCTGATGTAAGAATTTGGAGGAGCATTTCTTTCTGTTAAATAACGATATGTAAGGTTACGCTTATGTGGTTCTACCGTGTATATACAAGCTGTTTACTCTGTTTGTATGAACTTGTGCACTGTGCATTGGTTAATTAGGGCGATTTTTGATGTTTGGTATACAGGTTGAGAACCTCTGCACATCGCGAATCGGTGGTTCTGAGTAAGCGACTAGCTTTGGACCCATTTCAAATCTCGTAATAAAATATTGAGATGTTTCTTAGACTTTTTTGATAACATGAAATAACTTAATTCGCTGTTTTTAACATAGGCTTTAAGGATTATCCTAGTTTTTTTTTATAGCAACCAATGAATGCGTATAATTAAATAGATAACTAAACTTGGCTCTGTTTGCACTCACAGCTGCTTCTTGTGCACGTTGGCATTGTTTGACTCAACTACTCCTTTTATCTTTTCCGTACAAATAGATGGTATATCGGTAAAAATGCTGTAAAAAGGTTCTAACAAATCAGCGGATTTAGAAATCTTGCATTTTCTGATTGTTAGTAAGTACTTTAATCCAAAATATTACCAGTCACCAAGACCTTCGTTTTCAAAGGTGGTCAACACTTAGACAGCTTGTTAGTAAAGTTACTATCAGTTTTAAAAGGTTTGTATGGCAAGTTAGATGATTAATAGAAGAGGTTCTTTTATTACGCCTGATAACAAGGTTTAAGATGTTCACTACTTGCTACAAATAGATTTCAGGAGGTTGGATGACAAAATTGCCTGATGAGAACATGTCGCATGTCGCATATTTGCGTAAAAAGAACGAAAATGAGGGAAAAAAAGAGGAATGTAGTAGAGCGGTAAGTAAGCTAGAGTAAGAATACAATTATACAATGATCACGCACACGCACACACACATACACACACACACACACACATTACTACGGTAATTTAAAATATGTCAAAAAAAGTCTGTTTTTTAAGTACCTGAATACACTTGGATAAAATAGTAAAATGGTCATTGTTGTTTGCGACATAATTTTTGGCATAAGTGAATATTGTTTACTATTCGTTAATTCAAAAACTTTATTCAAGTCAAACTTCCGGTCTTGTTGTCATATCGTGACAAAAATTTTGCTGTCCTCGATAAAATATTCTACATAATATATGTACTTAATAATTGAGGTGTAGTAACTACTTGATGTTAAAAAGAATGATTTCATATCAAATTTTTAAATCATCTGAATGAAAATTTTATGCATGTTTATCAACTACGAGTAACAATTTTCTTAAGGTAAATTCTTTATCTGCATTCTAATCAAATTACTCTTGGAATTTCATTTTGAATTTGAAGTGGTTATAATTTAATTCAGTAAATAATTTCTCTGGTTATTTCAATGCCTTTACTTTTTTCGTGACAGAAACATTAAAAAAAATATTCTATGGAGTCACCTCATCTCGCCAATGCCGCGCCGTTTCAGTAGTGCTGTCAATATTAATGTACAGCAATTTCAGAACGGTAGTATGCCCTGCTGTTTTGGCTTTGTTTATCTGCTATTATCAAACAGTGTTACGTACAGACATGCACTACAAAACATAGTTTTTTATTTAAGCGCATAGTAAGCTTGTATACAAAATATCGAGTTTTAACATAGATTCTTAGCATATACGTAAACCAATACAGTTTGTTAGGAACGTATGAAGAAATATAATCGTTCATGACTTTATTTTGATGCAAGTACTAAAGGTCTGTTTAAGTATAATAAAAAAGTAAATAATTATTATTGCATGTTTTTATAGTAATTCTGGATACGTTACCGTTTTAGCATTGCTGCACTGTGTGAAAGTTAATTTTTTTTTTGCATTACATGGATGCTTAGGAAACGAAGCTCATACTCAAGACAGTGCAGGACAAAAAAAGAAAACGATGGAATGAAGGAGACAAGTGGACAAGTTAAAGGAGTCTAATTACAGAGGAATTCAAAAGCCAGTAAATAAATTTTCAAGATTTATGAAATTATGAAAAGATAACGTTAAATAGTTATACAGGTGCGGTGTTTTTTATTTGATTAACTGTGCACAACGTAAGAAAACGTGCATCAGACAAATTGAGAGAAAGCTCCTTTTACGCATATATGAACTTTAGTGTGACATAATAAACAATAAGGATAAATTGGCAAATGCACTAATTAGAAAGAAAATTTTTTGAAATGTTACATATTCATTGCACCAGTAACTTTATAATTCTACAAACTGATACTTTGAAATTTAGGACGAAGTATAAATGTTGTATGTAAAGTTTACACAGAGCGCCATCCATATAATTATAGTAGTACTTAAGTATATGACCGATGCTGCGCATCCGTCTACAAGTCAGTTGAATACAAGCTACCAGCCTGTACAGACGACAGATATAAACGACGGTAAAGGTTTTTGTACGTAGAGGACAGCAAGGCTGTACAACAATAAATTCAGTTTAACTTTATAAATATAACCGACAGTGTGTTTTTCCTTTTACCTAATTTCCTGTACCCTAGCACATAATAGTAAAGAAGCAGTCTCGCGCAGTGGACACGGCTATGCTGACAGGTTATGGGCCCAGCACGCTTCCACTGCGCGGGACTGTCTTCTTTTCTCCTTTGCGAGGGGTTTTGTGCCGGGGATCTTGTGCTTCCGTCTTCTTTGTATGAGCCCTGAAGTAAAAGGCTTTTATTTGTCATAGTGAGCTCCTTTCTTTTTTTCTTTCTTTGCTGAACATAAGTGCAAGTGAGCAAAGCGAGAATCTTGAGTCCGAGGCCGAGGTTTTGGTCGACGGCCCGACAGATGACGGTGGGGTGGTGCCACCAGCGACGGGAGCTGCGGACGAGGAGGGCCAGGAGGAGCAAGGGCAGGAACAACGGACGACCGAGAGAGAGGAAAGGCCAATGAGAGACGTGGCATGCCAGGTGAACAGTAAGTCATTTTCCCCTCTGTAACTGCAAGTGGCGGCGGATGTGTTTGTGTGGTCGCATGTGGCCTCTGTCGTCCGGGAACTTCTGGGTTAGGACTTACCCCGGGAGAGGAGATGAGTGGGCCTGGTGACGGTTTGGCGTTGTTGTGCTGTGGTTGCTATCGCGGGCGGCTGGGACGCCATCTTATCTCTCCTTAACTTTATCCCGGCG